GATGGAGGATCTGATGGACTGATAAGCCCTGGCCCCAGGCAGGCAGACAGGTTTGAGCCTGGTTCAGGTGCGAGGCCCAGACAAGCAGAGGTGAAACCTGACTCCTCACAGGTCTGCGCAGACACCACACCCCCAGCAGCGCGGCTCACAGACCCTCGCGCATCACCTCTATGGCAACGCAAGCCGTGCAGCAACAACAGTGATGTAATGGCGGAGGTGTTTGTGTTTGGGGTTGCCATCTCAAACACAAGCGATGAAGTCACCTAATGCAGGGCCGGCTGACATCAGAGCTTCCTCTAAGGGTGCGTTCACACTTGTCATGTTTGGTTCGATGGAAACGAACTCTGGTGCGATTGCTCTCTTAGTGCGGTTCGTTTGGGTAAGTGTGAACGCTGCCATCCCAACCCTGGTGCGCACCAAACAAGCGGACCGAGACCGCTGAAAAGATGGGTCTCGGTCCGCTTCCAAACGAACTCTGGTGCGGTTCGAATGAAATAATTATTTTGTCCAAATAAAAATACATTGTAAAAATACAGTTTGCATTCACTCAAAACTGGAAATGTACTTGTCTTGCCCCCCTGAAGTGCATTTTCTAATATAGTTTGGCATGTTTAAACAACATGTATTTTAATTTTGAAGACGATATTTTCTGCAGTATATTAAGCACATAGTCCGTTACCAAAACTTGTCTTAGCAAACACCTCTAATAACATGATGAGATGCTGGGAGTGATTAAACTGACTAAGACAGAAAGAGGTGTAAGAAACACAGTTTGTGAGGTTAAATGTGGGTAGTGTGAAGCAGGCGTGTGTGTAGAGATCACATTTACACTATAGTGTATCTGACATGTCCGTGTGTTCATGTTAGTGTCAAAATGAACTGCAGTGCTTTCTCTCAGAACGGCTTTGACTGGAAAAGACGCAGCAGTACATTAGCTGTTTATAACAGCGGCTGGATTATACTCTGGCTTTCTGTGCACTGCATCTTTTTGTTTATACGTCTCTCTTCACAAGAGCCTTATTTTGAACTATTGGACCATCAGAAATGATATGAAATCATACCCTTTGTAGAGCGGGCCCTCGTCCATATGCCTCTGTTCTGCTAGTGTGTTGATGTTTAGCAGGGTGGAGAAGCTCTGGCTCTTTTTTTTTCATTCTTTATATACACGTACGTCATGTTAGTTTCGTTGTACAGCAGTCAGCTGAGGGGTGTGTGTGGCTCACATTCTGCTGTCTTTATTTATATTTAGCTCTGGAGTATTACAGGTTTTGAGTATAATCAGTTGATTAAGACAATGCAGTTATGAAAGTTATAGGAGTGAAACGCCTAAACGTGAAAATGATCATTCTGTGAACGTATGGAATAAAAGAGTCTCTCCCAGAGAGCAATGTTGCAATGTCTCTTTTAGGGCCTTATGGAATTCGTTTTATTTTTTCCCAAATTTCATTTTTTTAGACTCTTTTAATGGTGTAACTGTAATAACGCAACGTATGATCCTCGTACTACAGATGTGTGGGAAACCGTGAACTTGAGCTGTTGTGCAACAACACAGATAGTAACCGGAGTCAGTTAAACGGGAAGCTTGCGTGTCCAGACAAGACCAGACGAGCGTTTTAATATAGTGTACGCCATAGAATTAAACGCACCACCAAATGAAGAGCTGGGAATTCAAAATTGCCCGTCAGGTGCGTTGTGAATAAAAATAATGTCAGCATTCCACCGACCCAGTGACCCTAAAAACAGGTTGGATTTTCTTTTGATTTCTCGGAGTGTAACGTGAGCCGGACATGTTGTCGGTCGCTGAGGTTAGACGTGTTCGACATGCACGTGTAACGCAGAGCTTTCACATTGATTTACGTAAGGCAAGCCGCCACTGTGAGACACACAGATATCAGATGGTAAGCGGATATGCTGTGATTGCCCAGCTGTGTGTGTGTGGCCTGATGGAGAGCTTGATTATGAGACGCTGATGGTAGTTCACGCAGTGTTTGTGACGGGTGCCGCTGAGGGTCTGGCCGTGAGCTGTGGAGTGAAGTATGTGGATTGCCAGGAGACAGATGGAGGATCTGATGGACTGATAAGCCCTGGCCCCAGGCAGGCAGACAGGTTTGAGCCTGGTTCAGGTGCGAGGCCCAGACAAGCAGAGGTGAAACCTGACTCCTCACAGGTCTGCGCAGACACCACACCCCCAGCAGCGCGGCTCACAGACCCTCGCGCATCACCTCTATGGCAACGCAAGCCGTGCAGCAACAACAGTGATGTAATGGCGGAGGTGTTTGTGTTTGGGGTTGCCATCTCAAACACAAGCGATGAAGTCACCTAATGCAGGGCCGGCTGACATCAGAGCTTCCTCTAAGGGTGCGTTCACACTTGTCATGTTTGGTTCGATGGAAACGAACTCTGGTGCGATTGCTCTCTTAGTGCGGTTCGTTTGGGTAAGTGTGAACGCTGCCATCCCAACCCTGGTGCGCACCAAACAAGCGGACCGAGACCGCTGAAAAGATGGGTCTCGGTCCGCTTCCAAACGAACTCTGGTGCGGTTCGAATGAAATATGAATGCAACACGGACCAAATACTTCTAAACGAACCAAATACAGGAAGTAATGACGAGATGCGACGCTATGCGACATGATTTGACGACGCGGTGTAACCAAAACTAAATGAGCAGAGGGCAAACGTGGAGCAACGATGAGGTAAAGTGCCTTTTATGAGCTCCTTGTGAGTTTGCAGGTGCTGAAAATTTAATTATATGTACACGCAAGAATGAGCACGCTTAGTCCAGCAGACGGCATTAGGCGTGTTTGACTTAAAGCGGCGCTTAGCTGACCGATCGGTAAATAAAAGCTTTGATATCATACACCCGCAGCGCACCTTTTGTTTGGGGTGTTCCGTCACGATATATACGTCATTCAACCCGACCAATCAGGTTGTGAACGAATCACTATGCCTTTAGGTTCGCTGTCAAAAATGCCAGTGTGAACGCTAAGCGGACCAGGACCAAATTTATTATTTTCCTTTTTGGTCTGGACCAAATGAACCAAATGAACCGAACTACAAGTGTGAACGCACCCTAAGGTTACGTTCACTCTTGCGAGCCTTAGTGCTCAATCCTGACTTTTGCTCAGATCTGTTTTTTTGTATAGCTGTTCACATTGTCACATTGTTGTGTTCACTATGATTTCTGCGATGCGGGAAACGCGGACGGAATCCAGTCATAAAAAGTGGAATTTACCGTGTAACACGGAATGTCACGGAATTTGGCAAATTTTGGATGAATAAATCAAAAGTAGGTCAGTACACTTAAATCAAAATGCGATATAGAAAGTGTAGGTGAATATTAAGACTCAAAAAAATATTTAAATATGAATCCTGCAAGTTCTGCAAGGTCTCTGTGTGAATGAATGGTGCAGACGCGCGGTTTCGTTTACTACACATGCGGTGTTTTCAGCTTCTGCCGCCTCAATATACGAGTGAACACATGAACATGATCTCTAGAACTTCTCCGAGAGTCACTTCATGAGCATTTGACCGTTTCTTTTGACTAAAAACTATCATCATATCATATGAAACTTAACAAGAAACTTAATTTTATAACAACCCGTCAAAATAATAGTTTGGTTAATCAATCAATTTGGTAAAAAATAAAGCTAAAAATAACCAAAAACATTTCATAGGACCGTAAAAATCTACATTTTAAACTTTTAATAAATTATTGTTAAATTGTAAGTTTCATCATTTGAATTAATTAGACATGCTTTTTTATTAATAAAATTTAGCCAGAGTCAAGAAAACAGAAAAAACGGAATCCAGAAAAATTTACGGGGAAAAAAAATGAATTTGGAAAAAGATCAAACGGAATTTGGGATTTCATAGGGCTCTACATTGTTGTTTTAAATGTGGCCAACACCAGATTTCCAATGTGAACAGATAATGGTTCTGAACTGACCCGCACACGCAAAAACATGATGCAAACAGGGTTGCCAGGTTCTCGCAACAAAATCCGCCCAATTTCTTCTCAAAACTAGCCCAAATGCATTCCGGGGGGTAAATACCTATATCACATTGAAAAACAGTGAAAAAGTAGCCCAATTCTGAGTGAAAACTATGGACTTGGCAACACTTGCATAGCACTCTGTTATACAGAAGCCAGAAAATGTATGCACAGGCAATAAGAAAAATAAAAACAAAAATGGAATTGAACGAGCCCTCATGTTTTGCTTGTGTATAGTGTTGTCACTGTAATATGAGCTCTGACACATCACTGTACTTCCACTGACCACCTTTCACAACTGTCTCGATAACTTTGGGTATGCAAAATCTTCGAAGCGACTCCCACGAGCGCAGAATCGTGACGAATGTTGATCTAGAGTGACGTAAAGGCCGAGTGAATTCCGATATGACTGCGGTTGCATTGCAAAACGTCTGACCTGTATCGGATTTAGCACCACATACGGAATCGAGAAGATCAGATTCCATGTGATCTGTGCTGTTCACACTGTCATGAGAAAAACAGATCTGAGCAAAAAAGAAATCTGTAGCATCTATAGTGGGCAGTGTAAAGCAGTAAAATCGTACTGTAATATTAACAGGCTCATAATGCCAGTGGCTGTTTACTGTATGTCAGTGCGTCCCATGGAGTTTAGTCTGTGGGTTTTACATGCGTCCAAGCATATTTTAAACATCTGATCTTGGAAGGTCTTGTACATTCTTTCACATAGGCAATCCCATTGACTCTATAAACTGTTTTGATGTCTAGATTTCTGTTCGAGTTAACCGTTTCTGTATGTGAACTGCTATAAAATATAGCATCTGCTTTCAAAGGATTTGGAAGTGTTTCCAGAATGAATATAAAAAGTTTGATTCAAAACCTTTGATTCAGTTCGCTCTCTCTCTCTCTCGGTCTCTTTATTTGTCATGTTTCATTGATCTCTGAGACTCTTCAAGCTGCAAATGCATCCGTGTTAAGTGAGTCTGAACATGGTTTTTGCTTGTTTTTACAGGTAGTGTCTGAGCAGACCTGTGGGTGAGTGTGACAGCTGGTTTCTCCACATCATGGATTGGTCAGAGATATCTGGAGATGCTCATTTCATAAGTGGATTTCAGTTGTGAGGACTACACGTCACAGCATCTGCTGTTTCCGTTTCCGTTTGCCATGCTTTGACTGCAGATACTGGATTACTCGGACTGTTTTCTACTTTACGTCATTTGTTGTCTACTGACTGGTCAGTACGCTGTTCCAGTCATGCTAAAATATACAATACACATACAGTAGTTATGCTGTTGAAACTCATGTTCACTCCACCCATAGATGCTCTACTGAATAATATAGAAATGTTGTTTTATAAAGAAATAAGGCACTTTATGTTGTGCTATGTTGTAAATGACTACAGTATATCACAATCTAACACATCCTCTTGTACAATATTGCTTCCTTTTAATACATAAATATTGTTTACATGTGTGTATAATTGATATGATATTATTTTTTTTAATTGTCCTGAATTTTTCCTTAAATAAAAAAAGTGGATTGAAGCAAAATCTATCATGTCATGATGTTAAAAAAATCTAAACTGGTGGTGACGCGTACGACATTAAAAGTTAATAAAAACCACGTTTTTATAATTATATTTATTATACATTTGTAATAACATCCCAGTTGGAAATCCCCCCAGAATACTGTTCTCAAGACTATCAACATCTTTACATGCAAACAGTGGCTCAAAACCGGCTCACAAAGTATAAACATTGACTAATTAGTAATGTTAGTCTTATCTGACATTGACTAACTGCAATCAATATGTGTGTGTGGCAGACATCCTGTTTACCCGCTGTCTGCTGCAGATTTATTGAGCTTCATTAACCTTAAACAAGTCATGTCGTATCTGCGCATGATTTCACTGGTGAGCAGCGACAGCAGCGCTGGCCTTTCTTCCTGGCCATGTGGCGGAAATGCTCAGTACCTGTTAGGATGGAATTGAATTTATCCGTAATTTCTTTTTGCACAGGTCGAAAATGCTGAGGAAAGACGGTCATGAATTGCACTTGACTGAATTTCAAGGGAACAACCTTACTGCGTCTCGTTTTCCACGTGTTTATGGGTCGAAACTTGAAGAAAACGATTGCATGTTACAATAATAAAACAATAATTACCTCATTTAAAGACAAATATTCTTCAAGCTCATCGAAAAAAGATGTAAAAATAGTAATATAGCCTTCTTGAATGATTCAAAATGGCCTTTCTTTGTGAGATTCAGCTTTCTTTTTGCGTATGTGCCAGACAGAGATGGATTGCATATTGTGTATCTAGTCAAATCTTATGGATTCCCTCCATGATAATTTCCTATTCAAGTGTCGTTCAACGTCGGCCAGAAGCAGGGCTCAATAACACCCATCTGCTGAAGTTACGAGCCCAGCGGCGTGCCACAGGGCAAGAAATATTATTTGTGGGTTATATTTGTTGAAGAGCGCACATGCAGAAGCATTTCGACATTTTCACGTCCGCAAAGTTCATCAGAGTCTTCCTAAGTAGCCAGTAAAAGGTCCTGCCGTGGGTTTCCGAACAATGGCCGTGCTGATGTTTTGGCAATTAAATTTCATGACATCTTTATGGCGCTATCTCCGCTCAGCACCATTAGCATGACCACAATGCTTTCCCCTTCTCGCTCGCCTTTCTTTTTTTTCTCTTTTTTTCTCACACGCAGAGAAAATGACCTCTCCGCCAATCTCAATTCACTGCACTTCTATAGCGTTGAATGGACAAACTCAACAAAGGTTGACATAATTTTCTCAGGCTTTGATTGGCCCCCAGCGTGCCCCACAATGACATCATGCCCCCCCACCCCCCCACGTCCTCTGCTGGATGCTGGATCGTCAGGGTTACGGTGGGCAGGATTTGGCATTGGTCCGTTTGGCTGGTGTTAATGAGTGCGGGCAGAGATGGCAGCATTTTGTGGTAAACAGTCCTGGGAAACAGTGAGGGAGGGCACATCCGACCCCCGACACCCCCGCTGCCGCAGGAGCTTTCACATGGGCCGTCCACACATTTGTACGGTGCTTCACACTTCCTAGTCAGCCACGAATGTGTAGTGTGCAACTTCTGAGGAGGCGAATAAATAAATGGAAGTGGCCGTCGGTCAGTGGACGGGGGGTTGATGCGTGTCTCTTGGAGGATATGAAGTAATTAAAGGAGCTGTGTGTTGGGAGAAGCCCAATGAATTTTTCCTGAATTAATTACAGAAGCTTGTGCCAAAGGGGATTTTCTCAGTCCTCCAGCACCACCTCCCTGTGTTTCTTTGTTTTCTCTTGACTCCGTCCAATCGCATGACAGGAATTAAATCCCTAAGTCACACCCGTAAATCTCCAGCCCTCGCTCAACTGCGGCTCCCTTTTCGGCAAGATCTTTTTTTTTTCCTGTCTTGCCATTTAAAGCAACACTTCATCCAAATATGAAAGAGCTGTCTTCATGTACTGACCCCGTCATTCAAAATCTGTGTGACTTGCTTTCGCTCGTTTCCGTACAGTCACTGTAGATGGTGACCACAGCTGTCAATCTGCAAAAAGAACAAAATAACTTCTTAAAAGTACCATTAAAGTTACACAAAAACACTTTATGAAAGCTTTGTGTGGACTGAAATCTTCCCTTCTGCAGCTCTCCAATTCTACTTTCGGTTCAAATAGGGCACGACTAGATGCCAAACGTTATTGTTGTTTTTTTACATGTGTTATGATCGATTACAGTGCACCAGCATGGGATATGGGATTTGAGGTTTTCTACGGATAACGACTTGAGTTTCAATCTGCTCCACGGGTTTGAAGTGACGTGAGGGAGCAGTTGAAACCAATTCAGTGTGATAAAGGTTGCTGGTTAATCACTTTACACCGGTTACATAAGGAGACCTTGATTATGAGCTGTTTGTCTCGCTGTCAGAAGCATGTGACGTCAATGACTAAATTCCCATTTGTTCTTCAGCAATAGCCTTCCAGGCCTTCGGAGGCTCTGTTGGCCAAAACCTATCCGTGGGTTTTCCAGCTGGGGACCTCTGACTTCGTGCAATGAAATGTATTTTTCTCATTGGTGTAGCTCCAAAACCCCAACAGCCTCGTAGGTACAAGTATCACATACATACAAATGGCCATTTCCCCTTGGAGGAGCCGTTAATGAGAATAATTTGAGGCTGAAGCTTAAACGGGGCCCGGTGCCAAACCCCACTGCATGTGAATGCTCGCACAACACGCTTCAAGCTCCATCCAAACCATTTCCTCAAAAAGAATGACAGCAGGATAGAAAAAAAAGTCCACAATTACTCCTCAGCCACTGGCACGGTCGCGCCAGTTGAAGCTTTATTTCATATTCCTGTGACCTCACAGATATGCCCAGAGACAGACTGTTGAAGACATTCCACCATTCATTCGCACTTTCCCGTCTTTCATCCGATACCTGAACCGAGGACGCAAGACACCTTGGACACATCTCCTGGTGCCACTGTGACGGATGTTCAGCCAGTACTCTTTTCACATGTGTATGCTCCTGTGATTTATTCCTTTTAATAGGCTTATTAAGTGGACTCATTACTAACGCCCAGGGCAGACGTTAGCCAAGACTTCTTGCTTGTCAGGAGAGCGCTGATCTCTTGTGTCGCTGTGTGGCTCTGGGCGTTTGGCAGTGCGGGCCGTGGGCGTTGGGCTGGGCCGCTGCGGGCGGAGGCCTGCCAGTTTGGATGGGCCGCACATGTATCGGTTACTGCTGGCTGGTGGAGGGTGTGTGGGTGTACGGGAATATGAACCACACCGCTGAGCTGGATCGCTCTCTCTGTGAGCATGAGAAAACTTTCCAAAGCAGTCCCTCAATCTGCTGACCTTTAATAGAAATCTCTTGCTTCGTCACTGTGCACTTATTCTTCATAAAACAGATGCGGTCCGGGGCCCCGATCATTACAGGTCTGGCCAAAGTACTTGGTATTGACGTGAAACCGCTGTTCATTTTGACTGAAGTCATTTATTTATTTGGTAAATATAATCCGTTTTGCATCGGGGTCCTGATCACCCTTGTCTGGGATTACTTTGGGATAATGACTAACTGAAAGACCGTATAGATGGCATGCTTCACTATTGCTGACCTATGTGGATGCCTGATCGTTTATTACATAATTCCTCTAAGCTAAGCAGCAAAAACCTGCCAGAAGAAATGTGTTAAGAGTTGGATGTTTAAAACTCATCCCATGCTTTCTGTTTCTTTCTCATTCACAGCGAGGGAGGCGGGGTAGGGTAGGGTAGGGTGGGGGGATGCAGTGCGGCGGCCAGCGGCTAGACTGACATCCATGGGAATCTGGAATTCATTCAGCAGTAATTATCTCCATCAATACAGAGAGAGGGGGAGGGGAGATTTGGGAGGACCAATGGAGGCAGGGGAAACTTGGAAGACCTTAAATCTGGGTGCTCAAACTCAAAGATGGCACTCCTGTTTGGTGCCCGTGGAGTGCAGGCACTCTCCAGGATTATTGAGAGCACACCTGCGATTGGCGAATAGGCTTGAGGCCGCAAGTAGAGCCACATAAGCTCGGTACAAATCCTTCATCACGTTCCACCTGGCACGGTGGCTTCCCAGGGGAGTTCCCATCGGTTGAAATCATGTTCACTTTCTGGGTGTCCCCTCCTTGATCCGGTCCAGTCCTCCCAATGCCTGGGCCCTGGACGGACAGTCCAGTTGTCCCCCGTTTTTCTGCAGCACTGGCCACAACAGAAGGATATCAAGAGTGAAATTACCATGTTCCTTTGTATCTTCTGTTATCTACTTGTCCAATCAAAGACGATTCCAAGTATTTTGTATTTAAATTTAAACCATTTAGTGATCCAGTTTCACATCTCTGTTATTAAAAGTATTCTTTTGAAGTCAGAAGAACTGACCTATAATTCAGTGGCATTCTCTTAAATGTAAAGGTCCTTGCACACTGAGTCCGAAATTTACGTATGCGTTTTTTCGTATTCGTCATCCTAAAAATTCATCATGCACAGAAACCTTGCACACTGAGTCCGATGCGTATTAATTAATCCGTTGCGAAAAAATTCGCAAAACAGTGCTAAATGGAGTCTTCAACCAGTGAGGATGATTTTGTTGTCCTCTCGCTTCTTAAAAAGAGAAAAAGAAAGGAAATATTGGGTCCATCCAATCCTGAGATAAAGTGAGGAAGGAGAGTTCCCCTCCTTATTAAGGAGCAGCGGGATTATCACGGGCGATTCAAAGTTTACTTCAGGATGTCAGTGGCTCAGTTTGATGCTTTGCTAGCGATACTAGAGCCACATGTTAAAAAGACCACCCCCAGTTTCTGTGAACTCAGTGTGCAAGGATCTTTACAGTGCTTTGTGCTGCGAGACGAAGTGGATCAACTTGACAATCGACATTCTGTATTTGTACAGTGCCTCTGAATTGTCAAAAGACCTCTCAAAATGCATGCTACAGATGCGAAAAACGCAGAAAATCGAACCCGATCCGAATTTTT